GAAGTGCTTCTCAGCTTTTCCAGACCAAAGGAGTAAAAAGTGGAATACGTTTACACAGGTCAGTGAACTGCTCTGAACTTAAAACTTTTGGGGATACCTCAGTATATTTTGCAATGGTGAATAAGTGCAAAGACAGAGTGTACATATAATCTGGTTTTTGTTCTTCAGCTGGAAGAAACTGAGCTGCTGTTGGCTGCTCCAGGGATCACTCCTGAACTTCCAGTACTGAACTTCCAGAAAGTTTGAGTAACTCTGAACAAAGCCAGCTCTTCCAGAAAGAGAGAGCTGAATTTGTACGCAGAGGCTTGAACAGAGCCAGCTGACAGAACACAGAACAGGACAGGGTGCTCTGCCCTTGTCAGTGCTCACCGGCTGGCATGCCAACAGCAGATTTTATCAGCAGCAGCTTGATACTTGACTGATCAATGATTGAAAGAATGGATAACCTCTCTGCTAGAACTCTAACAAACAGAAATCATCAGGAATTTCTTAGAGGGTTTTGTTTGTTGGGTTTTTATTTGTTTTTTTTTTTTTTTTTTGATGACCTGTTAGTAAACCATTTGTTTAGTTTTCAGGTAAATGTAAAGAACATTTTGAGAATAATACCGTTCAAATGGAAAGCATCACAGGAAACGAGAAATACCCTCAAGTGAGACCAGATCCTCTCTCACTCCAAGCAGACTGCTGATTAACCTATTCGTTACACTAAAGTAATGAAGCATAAATTATTTATGAGGAAACGAATGAAGTTTTCCTCATTTTGAGCTCATCATTACAAATTTGGCTCTGCAGCCACAGCTGTTTTTTCAGAAACCGAACAGCTGAGAAAAAGAGGCCAAGTAGAACACAATTCTGATTTCAATTGCAAAGAAAGCCAGCAGGTAAGAGCGTTGGATATTCTTCATTGCTCTAGTGAAAACTCAATCACTAAGTAAGGCAGAGCCCAAGCTGCAAGATATCGCAATCACTACAATTGAACATATTTTATCACCAAAATTAAACACACTCAATTATGTGAAAGAAAAGATGAGGACACAGGCTTAGTAGTGCAGAGCTATCAGTCCAAAGGGCCATCTAGGTTGGGCAACTGAGAAGCAAAAATAATAGCACTTAAGCATTTTCACATGCTTGTTTTCGAAGCAATAAAATTTTGTATGTTAATTTTATGGCAATAAACAAGAAGGAAGAAGAGGAAAAAATTTAATAGATATTGGGAAAAAAATTGGAAAAACTCATGGTGACAAAATGATAAGGCTTTAAGGCATGTGAGTGTAAGTTTGATATCTCAGCATAATTTTCAGGTGATATTGCTGATTAATAGCTTCTTTAAACAGACCATGTCAACACAGAGAAGTTTTCTTGGAAAACTAATTACCAAACAGATTAAAATGAAAGAACGTTTCAGTTCACTGTGTGCATCACTTTTTTTCAGACTGTGTTTCAGTCCCCTCAGGGACTGACTAAAGGAGAGGATGAACTAACTTTTCTCTATTGGTCTTCCATTGACATCGGGAGGACTACTCAAATAGTCACATAGAGTATGGTGTTCAGTGAGCAGCCAGAGATATACTCATTTACTCTGGTTGTTATCTGACCCATTATTTCAATGCCAATATACAAACTGATTTTATTTCTTACAGGCTTGTCTGCAAGAAGACTAAGCTGATTCTGCTGCTAGTTATCTATATGGCTGTCAGCTAAAAGTAGTGTAAACCCACAGCTGAGATAATTTCCATCAATCTTAAACTGACACATTCTTAGCTGTCTATTTCTGGGTGCTGTCTACACAAACATTCCTAAGGAACAGATACACTTCATGACATTAGGCATACTGAAATTTTGGGGGAAAAAAGTTTCTAGAATCATAGAATATCCTGAGTTGGAAGGGACCCGTAAGGATCATTGAGTCCAGATCCTGACCTCACACAGGGCCACCCAAAAATCAGACCAAAAGTTAACACATCTGTCTGTAAATGTTGTAGGTATGGGACTTTTAGCAGCACAGGTCATCTTATTTTTCGGTGTGCAAAAAAAACTACCCCCAAAACAGCAAGAAAAATAAAAGGACAATGTTTTTCTGGCCACATCTTGAATATTACCAACTGTTTTCAATCCTCAACCAAATGAGTAGAAACAGATTCTGCAGACAACAGTTTGCAAAACAAAGCCATCCCTGTGCATCTGCTAATGAAACCAACAGTTAAAAATATTACGTCCCTAAAGGGGACCTCTGGCCAATAGCAATGCAAACCTAACCTCATTCTTAGATACTTATCAAGATATCTGAGCAGTATTCTTTGGATCTGTATAGGTAGTTAATTATGCTTTTTACTCAGAGTACAGAGGCTGCACTGATCTGATGAACAGACCTCACTATAGAATGTGCTGCTCTGTTTTGATGTCAGAAACAGCACATGCCATGCAGACAAGCTGCTGACGTGTGACTGGTCAGCTGGAATTCTCTCTTTCTCTGAATGCTCTTACATTCCAGGTCAGCTTGGGCAAAACATTAAAACTTATTTTTGGAAGTATGTGAAATAATTATTTGTTCAACCTTCAAGTTCAGATTGGTTTTGTGAATTTGTGAAAATTCATGTGTTGTCTTTACTGTGTACCAAGAATGAACGCCTATAAAAGAGAACGACAAAGCACTTACAGCAAGTTAATGATGTATGTAGAGAACTGTCATGTTCTAGATGAAATCTCCAGTGTTTATTAATTGGACAACAAGCCTTACACAGTATGATTTATCAACACCTAAAGTCTGGTTCTCTCATACTGCTGGAGATGTAAAATAAAGGAAATTAGTGGTTGCTTTGGATCAAGTTCTAGGTACACTGCGGCCATTCATCAAGAAGAGACTTCTAAAGGCCTGTGGAAAATATTGAAGCATGTCAGGAAAAACCTCTAAGAACAATAGAGGAAGGATGTGGAAGATATTTTACAGCCTTGTCCTGCATTTAAACAGATACTCAAACAGCACATATTATGCTGGATTACGTGAAGAAACATTCTGTCTTCTATCAGTTACCGCTGAGTAAATTAAACCTACAATGAAGAGCTTAGAATAAACACTCAGATTTTGAAATCAAACAGAACATACTCATTGCAAATAATCATTTTACAAAATAAGTGTATGGGCCTTTAAGTGGAAGAAAGAATTTTCTTCTTTCTAGTGTCCACCATTATTCAGCAGCTTAGAGACAAAAACTTAAGCATGCTCTAACTGGCATGGTTCATAGCAGTACCAGCCAGAGCCTAAAAAGCTGCAGCTGTGTTACATGGCAGACCCCAGCCTTGGCTTGTGCCGAGTTCCAGTCTCAGCAAGAACTCGGCCTTGTATGGTGTACTATTACAGGCAGATCCATCACACCCTGCTGCTCACTAATTCCAGCCGGAGCAGGTAATTTCATACACTTGCACTCCAACATCGATCATCACACCTCTGCCATTCCATCACAGCTATTTACCACCAACTGGACTGGTTCAGCTGCTGCCCCAGCTGTCTGGCTTCAAACACTCAGCATGTGAAACAAAAACCCAGCTCTGTCACAGAGCATATTATTTTCTCTGAAGAAGTGGCTGAACAAGGATGCAGCAGAGCCCACGGCAATCCCCAGGCTGCGGCTGCCACCTCCTGGACTCCTTGTGTAACCACTCCAGCCAGCCATCGTGCCGAGTAAGCAAAATTGCCTGAACAACTCTGATACCTTTTGGAGTTCTTCCAGTTTGGAGTAATTAGATTTACATTCAGTCATTAATTTTTCCTAGTAGCCAGGTTAGTAGCTTGTTGAGATTCTCCTTATGCTCATTTACACTTCCTTATCAATTGAAATTTATCTCAAATGGAAATTCCCTAAAACTGAACATTCTTCCTACAAAGCCACTTTCCCGACTTCCTCTTCATCAACTCTTATTTTTTCCATCATTCATAGTCTTGGCTGATGTTGCAGTTCCAAATATAATAATTAAAAAATTATAATCTTGAGGCTTATGTTGCATTATTACTGTATCATATGGATTTCAAAACACACACATAATTAAAAGTTACCAATAATACTGGCTAAGCTAGAAAACAATATCAGGATAAATGACTTTTTTTGATTGAAAAGAAAAAGGAGTAGAGAATTACTTACAAGAGACACAATTGCCTTTGTTTGAATCATTAAATTGAATCATAAACACTCAGTGTTTACACACAAGTCAGAGACTTTGAACCACCCTCCAACAATGAAGTACTACAGAAGACAGTCTTGAATTTCTTCATGCTATCACAATACTTAGGAAAAATAAGCAAGAAAATGCTCAACAGCATGTCATAGCTGATTTTTCGGATTTCTTTTCTCTTCTGCATTACCTCGAGTACTGTGTCCAGTTTTGGGCCCCTCACTGCAAGAAAGATATTGAAGCCCTGGAACGTGTTCAAAGGAGGGCAACAAAGCTGGTGAGGGGTCTGGAACACAGGCCATATGAGGAGAGGCTGAAGGAGCTGGGAATGTTCAGCCTGGAGAAGAGGAGGCTCAGGGGAGACCTCATTGCTCTCTATAACTTCCTGAAGGGAGGTTGTAGTGAGCTGGGGGTCGGCCTCTTCTCTCGTGTCATTAGTGATAGGACCAGGGGGAATGGCTTCAAGCTACGGCAGGGGAGATTCAGGCTGGACATGAGGAAGTATTACTTTTCAGAAAGGGTGGTCAGGCACTGGAATGGACTGCCCAGGGAGGTGGTGGAGTCACCGACCCTGGGGGTGTTCAAGGAAAGACTGGATGTTGTGTTGAGGGACATGGTTTAGTAGGAGCTATTGGGAATAGGTGAACGGTTGGACTGGGTGATCTTTTAGGTCTTTTCCAACCTTGGCGATTCTATGATTCTACCTAATAACATACTTGTTAAAAAAAACTCTAACTTTACACAACTGTACAAAACTGGACTACTAAAAGCTGAAAACTGAAACAGGTGTCACCCTATTACAGTGCACTGATGAAGAGCCATAGAAGCACAAGTCCACAGAATTTTTTATTAAAATAACAGCAAGAAATTGATGCAGTGCAACAAAATTTCAACTCATCTTAAAAAACAAACAAACAAACAAACAAACAAACAAAAAAAAAAACCCAAAAAACAACTTTAATCCTTAAGCATGGAAACTGCATTCCAATCCTGACACGATTGACATAATGCAGAAACAGAAATGCTGTATCCAAGACAACGAAGTTAAAGATTGGCATGTTGGGCGAGGAACGTTCTTATTCTTTGTAAGAGTTCTTTCTTCACACTGTCTGGTACTAAGGCTGAAAAATACAAGAAAGCAAGAAGTAAAAAACAAACAAACAAACAAACAAAGGAAAAACACACTAATATTAACCAGGTTTCTTCTGGCCACAGTCAAGAAAATTGAAAAAGTCTTAGGGAAACAATTATTCAACAGTAAACAGGATATAGTGACCAGAAACTGGTTTGCTAATCCTGGGTATTTCTTCCTTTCACAAAATTAAAAGCAACAATCTCAGCCATGATGTAAGACTAAGGATCTTCAGTAAGTCATTTTGAAGGCCTATTTTTTAAGACTGAACAAAGTTTCTCCCACTAACACCAAAGCTTATTAGAGAGTTCATGAACTACATAAAGAAGACCACAGTATCTTAAGATTCCATATGTCCTGCATTCATATGCACTGTCCTTTGTTCTTTCATTCCAGTACCATTAATCCAGAAATTCCATTTAAAAGAGAACTGGAATTTTGAAACAACTCTGCCTCATACCCAATGTTTTCTTGGGAGCATTAAATCAATCATAAAGACAGATACAGACTCATGACTAAATAACAATCTGTAGTAGTTTACACACACACAGTTCATTACAAATGCTGAATAGCTGTTACTTAAATTACACTTACATGTTTTATTCAGAGCTAACATTCAGATATTAACATTTTTCCTTGTATCCAACATAGGCAGTTTCATAGTACTGCTTTCAAAATATTCTTGCAATACAGGTAGTTATGTTTATTAATGTATTATGATGTCTGTTTTTGTGCTTTCTTACCTCTACCTTTGGGAGTGATTTCTGCCACCAAATCATCAACAGTAACATGCTCTAATCCTTTTTCTTTAATGACATCTGGGGAAGACAAAATACATATTTGAAACCTTAACTCATTAATTAGAAGACAAACCTTGTGTGATTAAGACAAAAAGCACGCACTCACAGGTCATTAGGGAAGCCTTTAGCTCTTGACCTAGATTAGGTTATTAATTCACTTTTTCTACTGCATTGAACCGTGGATTAGATCTCCAATTCATAACACAGGTATAAGGATGGAAACCTACCACTACTGATATATCTGTCACCTCATAGCTTAAAATAAATTTTAGAAAGCTTAAGCTTAATCTGAACGTTATTAATTGTGCATATTACTAGAAAGTTTAGTAGTTTACAAGCTGATCTGCTCATCTCATTGCTATGTAAACAATGTCTCTAAAGAGAAAGAAACGGAATTTGAAAAAGATTTTTCCTTCACAAAGGCAGTAATTATTTACAATTACTTTAAGCATGTTAATCAATATATTTCTATATATTCCAGCAAAGTTAAAAAGCAATTCTGAAAGAAAGATAGAAATATAATAAATAAAAGCTATGCTTATGATATCCTGTATCTTTAACACACACTGGTATTTAAATAAACTGTTTACTTATACTGTATAGAATGCTACTGAAAAAAATGCAAAAGTTCATGCTGAAAATATGTCTCAATTCAAAAGCATAAACCTAAAATAAATACTGTTTAAAGCAAGTTTTAACTGCGTATCAGTATGCAGAACTGGAGTTTGATGTGGAGTTTGGACTGCTCCAGCACTTCAATGTCCTTTCTGTACTGTGATGCCCAAAACTGAACATAGTACTTGATGTGAGGCCTTGAGTGCTGAGTACAGGGGCAGGATGACTTCCCTAGTCCTGCTCACCACTCCATTCCTGATACAAGCCAGGATGCCATTGGCCTTCTTGGTCACCTGGGCACTCTGCTGGCTCATATTCAGCCGACTGTCCATCAGTAAACCAAGGTTGCTTTCCATCAGGCAGCTTTCCAGCCACTCCTCCCCACTCCTGTATGTTGCCTGGGGCTGCTGTGACCAACATGCAGGACTTTCTAGACTGATCAGCAGTAAAAACAACGAAAGGAAAAAAAAACAAAACAAAAAAACAACCAACACTCTGACCTTTCTACTGGAGGTTATTATGCTCTTTGTAGGAATAACTGAATTTTATTTGCCGTCTCAGCAGATGCTGTTACAGTTCTAAGTACTAATGTAAGCCCAACTACTTCAACTAACTTTACAACAGCAGATTATAAAGTGTACAGTTGAGAAGGCAGACAAACATTCCTTTCATTATCTGTACTATATAAATGGGTAATCTCTGGCAGTGGTCATCAGGCAGAAAACTGCAAGCGTTCATCATTTCAGCCTTCTTTGCAAATCCGTCTATGAAAGCAATTTAGCAAACACAGTCCTATAAGTGTTTGGTTGATAGACCAAATCAGAATTAAAGCAAAAGCTAAATGGACACATTATTTGCATAAGTTATTTTAGTAATACTCTTGGAGGTTTAAGTACTATTCTTAAAACAACAGTTTACAAGTAACTAAATTGCAGTAATGAAAAGCAGTTTTCTGAAAACTGAAGATTTAGGTGCCTAATGGTTCATCAGCTTGTTTTTCCTCATTTAGGTAGATTATTTTATTTTCATAATTGTTAAAAACTATTACAAATATACTCTTTTCTTTCCTGTATACAGATGACACAGTTCTCATACTTTTCTAAGCTGTGTACTACTCTCTGTTCTCCCTTTTCCTTTCTCCTTTTTTTATTCACCCGTAGCACAGAACTCATCTCCCTCTAAATAAAAAGCTGTATGGTCATGAATGTTTAGTGTACCAACTCCAATACTTTTATAAGGAGCTTAATAAGTTTCAAACTAGAAGAAAGTTTCAAGACTTTTTTTTTCCCTAAATACGGCAAGATGTTTTCTTGCATGTGAAACCAACTAACAGGGATAGTTTCCTCTTCCCTGAACATCATTTAAATTTACTGTTAGGCAGTAAAGCCTAAATGTAGAACCTTTACTTGGTCACAGCCACAGTTGCCCACAAAGGATGCTAGTTATTTGAGCATCATTACCTTTGCAATGTGCCTTCAACTGATCCTTCCAGCCGCATTCAATTAACTTGGCTCTCAGCAAATCTTTAAGGCTGTTAAGGCAATGAACAAACTCGTTAGGAACAGCAAACATCCCTAACAAGCTCAAATATGTTTCCATTGCTACTCATAGCAGAATTTCCAAGACAGCAGCACAAATGGCTGAACTGCATTCAAAGTTTATCCTGAATTACTACGAATTTCAGTTTACCATGTATGGTAAACTGTGGAAAGGAGTTGATTTAGAAGCTAAGCCTGTGAATCACTGGAGGTTTTCAAGGAACACATGGCAATTGGTGACACTATTCAGTGGGCAGGATGGTGAGTTGGTGGTTAGGCTAGATGATCTTAGTGGCCTTTTCCAACCTTAATGATTGTATGAACTAAGTCAATTTAGTTGCAAACACCAACTTTCAAAGTCAAAATATTTTATTTGAAACCAGAGCTTCAAAATAAATAAATCTTCCCTCCTCTCCTCTCTGAAAGAAGAATTTGGTGCCATTTATGTTGTCCACTGTCTCTCCAATAGGGTTTTAATTTGTGTTGGGTAAGAAGGGATAGGGATCTTGCATCTTGGGGCAGCAAAGAAAAACAGTAGCACTTCTTCTTTTTATTTAAAAAAAGTGTTTTGATATTTCAATCTCAAATTGGAAATGAGAAATCTGACTGATTTCACAACAGAAATCTAGATGTTAAAACAACAAAAGGAATCTTTTCTACTAAATTGTATCAATTAAACTAAAAAAAAAAAAAGCTGTAGTGCTTCCTAAAATTTTTAAGCATAAGAAATAAGAATTTAAACTATAAATGGACAAGATGTACAACCACCTACTGCAGTGATACGTGCACACCATACATTGAAAGGGAGTACTGAAAGCAAACTAGAAAAGAAGCAGTACTGAAGAACAGAAGAAACAAGATGAAAGTAACATATCCACCCTTTTTCCTATGAGCTAGTATGCCAGCTTATCTTGTACCATCCTGAATTACCGTAGCAAAATTCTGCTTTTCAGAAGAGATGAAGTGTAAGAAGATGCTGCACCAGGTACTTATATACATATAAATACACTGTCTATGAAATGCATAGAAGACAAACTGCTGCGAGAAAGCAGAGTAATTACACAGGTAAATTTCACTGCTTTCAGGTATTTCTCAACTCAAGAAATCAGAGTGCTTAGTTTCTGATCAAGCTGGTTTGTAGTACAGCTTTTAACATCCTGTCAAAACTCTACAGTTAAACAGGCCCCAGCACCATCTCAAGCAATGGCGTGCTTTGTTGAAGCTCTGTGAAGTCACCAAGGCAGCGGTTGCAGTGAGCAGGCAGCACAGAAACAAGTCAGTCTCCAAAAGGTTCCAGGTACAGGGCTGTGTCGCGGCCTAGGAAAAAGTCTCCAACTTACACAGGTATAGAACAGCGAAGGAAATGCAGCTTTTGGGACACAGTGTTATAACTACACTTAAAGAAGAAAACTGGAAAGTCAAAAGCAGGCTAATGATATCTGAATGCAGTGCGGGTAGACTGAGGAGACAACAAAAGGCTGAAAACTAGCTGCTGTGCCACACCGCGCCATTCGCTCCTTTGTCTTTGCTGGGGCCACACAGTGATTTGCACAACTGCCTTTTTATGCAATTCCCTGCATATTTCATTCCTTAACAAAAGAAGGCACACAAAAAAACTTTAAAAGAAATGAATGGGTTGTCTCACTCTTTATCAGAACACAGCACAATGTAACTGAAGAAAAAAAAAAAGGGGGAGGAAAAGGAGGGAAGGGAGGGAGAGCAATTTGTGTACAAGGCAACAGTTCTCCAACACAACATACTGCATGGAAAAAGCTTTAGAGTTTCAGGCCAACCTCTCCCTGTCCATCATTTTAATCAGACCTTCTCCCTTAAATGGTAACAGTAGACTAAAACTCTTCAGAAGGTAACGCTGTCATAAAGTTTTATATAACACAGAGTATCTTGGCATTCAGACATTTGAGGACTTTGGAGCTGAACTGACCCACGCACCCTACACGTTTCCGACGCTGAGGGCCTGTTTCGGCACGGACTTACCGCTCTCGCTCTCCTGTTTCTATCAGCTTCTGGTTAATGGTGGCTCTCATCTGGGCATCTTTGTTCATTTTGCAAATCTCAGTTTTCCACCACCCTGCACGGAAGTCAGGCTGACCGAGACGAGCGGCGCCAAGAGCACTAAAATAAATCGCAAGGCGCAGACCTACACACGCGGGCAACGCCGTCGGAAAGGAGCGCCGCGCTCAGCCCGCACACCGCCGCCAGTCCCGGCAGCAGGAGGCGGTGCCGACCCACGGCGCACAGCCCGCTCCGTCCTCTCGAACGCGGGCGCCGCCGGGAAATGCAGTCTCCGCCCGGCTCGGCCCGCGGCTCCCGGCTCGCGGCGGCGCTCAGCTCCGAACTACCGCTCCCGGCGTGCGCGCGGCTCTTCCCGCGGTGCTGCGCGGCGGTGTCGCGCGCTGCCCGCGTCCGGCATGGAGGGCGCCGCGCACTGCTCGCTGGAGACCAAGCGCCTGCTCCTGGACCCCAAGTTCGAGGGCTACAAGCTGTCCCTGGAGCCGCTGGCCTGCTACCAGCTGGAGCTGGACGCGGGTGAGGAGCGGGGCCGGTGATTTGGGGCGCTTCCGTGGCTCGACCCGATTTCTCGTTGCGGTTGAGCAGCGGCGCCTTCCTGCCGCACGAAGAGCCGAGCGGCGGCACGACGCCACGCTGCAGCGGGCTGCCCGCCGAGCCGGGATCAGTGCGTGTGTGCAGCCGGCCTTCGGGTCGGGCATGCGCGGTTGGACCGCGGCGGCGGCCGGGGCGGTTCGGTGCGTGCTGTGTGGAGTTAGACGTGTGTTAGAATTAGAGGCATACGCATGAAATTAATGCCTCACACGATCCTCTGCATAAAAGCCCTTTGTCTTCCTTTGCTCGTAGTTCAGACGTGGATGCTCAGACTGTTCATGGCCTTGCTTTCTCTGCTGTGCGTTATCAGCATGTGAGTTGCTGAGCTGTTAGCGCGATGATTCACTCAGTTCTCATTTCACCCAGAACACTGACAGAATCACATGGGGTGCGCGCCTAACTCCGTGCCCCATAAGCTCTCTCAGCGTTGTGGCTTTGTTGGTGTGTGATGCGCAGTTCAGATGTAAGGTGCATGAAGTAGCCTTTTTTATAAGAGCACAGTGTAGTATGCAGCTTGGGCAGGCTGGTCTCTGTATTCACTGGACGATACACCCGACTTCTGGGCTACCTGCTATGTGTTGCTGCAGATTTGTTTTCAGTACATTATTTTAATAGCAGGGCAGAAAGGTACACTGTGTGTGAGTTGTGTCTTAAAAGATGAGTGAGTGAAGATGAGGTGATACCATTGTATGCTGGGAAGTGTAATGAGAGTAACATTTTGTTATGTAGTGTAACACTGCCCTTTGTCACGATGTTGTTCTTACTGTGATGTTTTGTGTGTAAGGTGATCAAGGATGCTTTGTGGTTCTCAGATATGTGTACTGCATACCTATTTTACATTGAGGACTCAATATTTTTGTTGAAGAGTTTGAATTATGGAGCTTCTAATGCCTCTAGTCCATTCAGGTATTTGGCATAACAGTTACAGTAACCCTTGTGGTATAAATTTGGTGTATATCTGTGCTCTTTTCTTGGTCTTCTTACTATAACACGGAGATCCAGTCTTGTCTTCAGTCCTTACTTGCCAGTCCGACTAAAAATAAATACCAAATTGCTTATTCTGTTCTCTGCTTTTGTGTATATGCACTTATTTTTCTTTTTTGTTTTTCTTTTGATTACTAATGTGAAATATAAACCAAACTAAGCCCTCACTCAGTCTTCTAGATGACTTTTTTGCTGTTTCAACCTGTCTTTGGACCATACTGATGGTCACTCTCTCTGCTGTTTTTCTGCTTACTTCAGGGCACTTTCCTTTTAGTGCAGAGATGGTCTGTACCTGAACTTTGTGTTTTCTGCTATCAATGGTCTGCATTTATGTTAGATTGATGGCTTGCTTCCATACTTTGACTTGCATCTTGGGCAGAAGTTATGGGTTGAGCTACCTGTAAAACCAAATGAGATAAAAATTGACGCATGAAATTGATGCAGATCTACATTATTGGAAAAGGAAAATGTGCAGCTGCTGGACACCTTATGCTGGCTGTCACACTCATGTGGACTACAGCAGCCTTCATTTTCTGACTGCTATGCAAAGCTTAGTATTCAGTGCTAATTTGTCTGCAACTGTCAAACTGTGGTTGCCGTGAATTTGCTAGTCAAATGTGCAACTGAAGCAGAAAGAAATTTCTAATAGCTTTCTATTTATTTATTGGATATGATAGTGGAGAACAAGTTCATAGTGAATATCTTAAATTATAATGGTGGAAAAGAGTGGTGAAATTCTGTTATTATACACTCCCTTTTAGGTGCTGTAATTAGCTTGTTCTTTGCCCATTTGTTGCTTGGTTGCTCCCCATTCTGTCCCAATTCTCCTGAACTTCCACAAACATTTTTCTGATCTCTCATCCTGGTACTTGAACTAGTGATGAGTCCCACGGTATTACTGCTTTAATACCCAGCTCTTCACCCTAAATGTTGTATGTATTTCTCCTTTTCTTTAGTTTTTCTCCTTATTTTCCTTAGTTCCTGATATTTAGGTTTAGGTCTTAGGCCTTATATAGCTGTTCTTGTGTTGTACTTTAATTTCTCGAGAAGGAAAAAAATGATGTATAGGTATATAACTACATTAATGAAGATGGTTCCTACAGCAGGCACAAGTCAGCTTACAAGCTGTTTTGACAGTGATGTTCTCACAAATGCCTCACCAGTTTTTGGGTATTGTTTGATTTTTAGGTTCACTTGAGTGTGCAATAGATGCCATGTATGTTCATATCTGTGTTAGTAATTTGATCCAGCGAAAATACTTCATGAAATGGTATCTGAAAGGAAAGCATGCTTGTTTTCAGCAAGCTGTGTGCTTATTAGAAGTAAACTTCTGCATTCAGTCTATTAACACCTGCTACAGTATGCTAAGAAAGTCTTGTACTTTTGGTTAGCAACAAAATGATGCAGCCATTAAGAGTGAAAACATGCTTGCTCGGAGAAAACTGATTCTGAGATAGAAGGATCTGTGTGTGCTGACCGCTGGTACTAGAGAATAAATTCATGGACTGTCTTTCGCTAGTAAAGAGTGTACATGAAATACTAAATTCCTTCCACTGGGTGGCATTGCAAAACAAAATATGATATAAAGGTCCCAAAATAAAGTGTTGATAAAATTAGTTTACATATTTTACAGTATTTTGAAGTCACTGTGATGTGTTCAGTAGAATATATGAAAATACAGAGTTATTATTTCACGCATTTTCCACTCTTTTTTTTCAAGTTCTAGTGATTATAGAATCATAGAACTGCTCAGGTTGGAAAAGACCTTAAAGATCAACAAGTCCAACCACAGCCTAACCATGCTACCCAAACTCTAACAACCCTCTGCTAAATCATGTCCCTGAGCACCACATCCAAGTGTTTTTAAACACATCCAGGGATGGTGACTCAACCCCTCCTTGGGGAGCCTATTCCAGTGCTTAGCAACTTTTCTAGTAGAGAAGTTTTTCCTGATATCCAACCTAAACTTACCCTGGTGCAACTTGAGGCCATTTCCCCTTATCCTGTCACCTGTCAGCAGTGAGAAGAGACCAACCCCGCTCTCGCTGTAAGCACCTTTCAGATATTAGAAGAGAGCAACGCGGTCTCCTCTCGGCCTTCTTTTCCCCAGGCTAAACAGCCCAGTTCCTTCAGTCTCTCCTCATGGAGCATATTCTCCAAGCCCTTCACAAGCCCTGTTGCCCTTCTTTGGATTGCTCCAGCACCTCAATGTCTTTCTGTACTGAGATGCCCAAAACTGAACATAGTACTTGATGCGAGGCCTTGAGTGCTGAGTACAGGGGCAGGATGACTTCCCTAGTCCTGCTCACCACTCCATTCCTGATACAAGCCAGGGCTTCACTATTCGTTTAAAGTATGAGTCTAACTTTTTAGAGCTTTTTATGCAGAGATTTTTTTTTTCAGGGCAGGATAATAATAAGATCAGATTATGCTAGGGATATTTTGTTCCTTTCATTGATTTGCTTTGTACATTTTCCTTTTGTTTTTAAGTAGATTTGGTATTAGTGAAAATCTTGGCTTAATTAGCTGGGAAATATTTTGAGCCAAATTAATTATTTTTTCAGTCATGGAGCTGGTGACCTACAATTCTAGACAAGTGACATAATTTTGCTAGTCTGAAATACCACACCTCACTGCAGTTGTTGGGTAATAATACTGAAAGCTGAGATTTAATTTATATATACATTCCTTCTCTTTGCTGGTATGGCAGAGTATGAATTAATGTTCTTTGGTTTCTGTAGTGCAGATTTGTTTATGAGAAACTGAAATAAGACTGTGTATTATTCTGTAGGAGAAGCTGTCATAAATTGCTGCTTGTTAGTTGAACTCAAAAAGTTGGAGCTATTGAATTAGTCTGTCCTAGATTCAGTTCCTTTTTTAAAAACAAGCAAAAAAACTCTTATGTGAATAAGGTGATTTTCTCATTAAGTATTTCTCTTTTTTTCTTCTCATTTTATTAGCTTCTATTTTGCCAAATAGAACCCTTAAGTAATTTTTCACATTTTTTCCAAGGACCATCAAGAAAACTTGAACTGAGAAGGCTGCAGAAAGGAAGGAATGTAACTCCATCATAGTGTAAAATCTTCTATAACTGTCTGAGCGCAAGATATGTGAAGCAGATGGCATTTGTGCACACATTTTACTTGATCACAGAATGAGCCTCAATTAATCTAATGATTTATTGGCAGAAATATGTATATACAGGATACATTCTGTAAGCTGTTGATAACCATATTTGAAGTGTTACGTGGAAATCCAGTACACATTTGTTTGCTTTCCAGGTTTAAAATCACATATGGTATAGTTTCTGACTTCTACTTATGAATTATGCAATTAACTCTTCCTCTTAAGAGATTTGGATCTCTTTTTACCAGCTCCTATTATGCAGGGCTTGTCAGAATAACCAGCTGGAAAACTCAAGGACAGGGACTTTGTTCATGCTTTTTCATTCTTTATAGAGTTTATAATCCTACAGCTAAGCCATGGTGTATTGTTCCAAAAAATTTTCTTGGAAAGTTCTGAATTGCTTTAGGAAGCAGCCAGTTTTAACTGTTTTCAATATTTGTATATATTTTAGTTAAAATTCTACTAGCAGCAATGTGCCTGGGGGGAGGGAAGGGTAGAAA